AAGACCCTGCCTCTTGCCCACACACATAGATCCAAGGGCCATTTGAGATGCTGCTGCACACCTGAGCCATGCAGATGTGACCTCAGGATATGACACTAGGCCAATGGTGACTTGTTTTTCTATGGGCTATGTCCAACCAACTGTGCTAGACAGCCACTATGAGTAGCTAAGCCAGATGAGTACTTTGGTATTTGTTAGCAACACTACTGTCTAACTCATTGCTTTCACTGTTGTACATGAGATAATTTATATCTACTTTAAAGTGTTACTTTGTTCTTGTCCCATTTTGAATTGTGCTCTATTTACTTTTCACTATTTTCTCCTCTTGGAAATCATTTTAAATTCCAACTCTGTACTTCAATATGCTTTGATCTGTTCTGAGTTTGGTATAATTTGTAAATTTAATAAGCATTGCCTCTATTTCACTGTCCATATAATTAATTGAAATATTAAATTATTCCAGTTTCAGAGCAGACATCTGTGCGACACCACTTGACACTACCTCCTGTTTTGACTTCACCACACCACAATACCTATTTTTTCAGTATGAATCTCTAGCTAATTGTATAGGTAACTCACAATATTTTTATGAATTTTCATTCATTTGTAGTGAGAATATAATGTGTGGCAGTGTCACATACACTACTCACATTATGGTATATGATAACAAAACTTTTTTCTCCTTTACTACAGATTGAAGCTTCTTTGAAATTGCACAATTAGTTCTTAAATCTGTTTTGTCTGCTACATAGCCTCTTGGTCTCTTCTGTAACCTTAACAACAGACAGTGTCCAAGAAGTTTTCTGAGGTTTAAAATATAATGATAGCCCTATAGCACTCTGAATATTCCTTCTTCTAAGTCATGGATTTGACTTGTTAATAATCTGGAGACCTGACTGTCCTGCACTAATATTTTTTTATTGCTTCACCAAGATGAAGTCTCTCAGGGTAAATTTCACCAGGTCTAGATGAATAATTTACAAACTAGGGGGATATGACTTCTTTTTTCAAATATTTGAACTTCATTTGAGTGTTGGTTTGGATTTTTTTTTTAGGTAAGGAGCTTTTAAAAGGCTTCTTTTGTTTGTTCTTCCCAGTGTAAATACTATCATTGCACAAACAACAAGCAAAGATTGATTCTAAAAAAAAGTCTGAAAGGATGGTTTATGATTTATCCTTAATTATTAATTGACAGATGTTTATCAACTTGATTAACAGTATTAATATTTTTTATAGATTAACCATGTTTCATTTTAAACATAAAGCAAGGCTCCTTACGTACTACAAGTGAGGTATTGGAGGAAATAACTACCCTGCTAAAAGTATCCTCTGTAGCATTCTGAAATAACAAGCTTGTAAGTTGTAAGAAGCATTGCATAGTGAACTAATGTTAAGGCCGGGCCAGGCTTCCTTTAGTTTTTGTAGAACAAAGAAAGAAAGCACAAGAAGAAACTAAGAAAGAAATGCCAAGCTGTAATAAAATGGTTTTATCCAAACAGAGCTGTCTGGTGCATACCAGATTCTCCTAAAGATGAAATACAAATAAACAAACAACTGCAGATAACACTACATCATCTAAGCAGACTGGAAAACAAACTGTTGTATGGTCTGGACAGTCTGTTATACAGACTCAAGACAGATCATAAAGAAAAACAAGCTTCTGCAATTTCAAAGGAAAAGCTGAGCCATTATTATATATGTTTTAGAATTTCAATATGCAGAAAAAAAGAAATATCTTATTAACTCTTGCTACATAAAGCCCTCTGGTAGCATCTTGATAAAAGGAAATCCTTCTGTTTCATTTGCATATGAATAAAGAGAAAATAAATTCAAACTAATTTTCTATTGCATAAATATTGGGTAGATTAATTTGAAAATGCTGCCTTTCCAGGTGAACTTTGGGGAACTGAATATTTCTTTCATAAGGAAGGAATCACCCATAGGTGATTTTTGTTCAGAAGTTAATCAAGTGATTTTCACATTATATTGTCACAAACAAGATGCTCAAGTTACTCCAAAATTTCTTGGTAAATGCAACAGCCTGTACATAAATTACCATAAGCTGTTGGGAGGAACTGGAAGAGCTTGATTCTCATTCTGTATGAGCCCTATCTGTTATAATATTTAAAAACTTTCACAGATAAGCTACTCAGTATGTATCAAGTTTTTAATCTCCTTGGAAAAAGGGAAGAAAAATATGTGTAATATTTTCCTGAATGAAATCTGAAATACCTATCTGCATTACAAGGTATTGTGAATATTAACAGAATTAGAAAATTCACTGGAAAATTCACCAAATGAATTGTTTCAGTGAACAGGTATCAAGAAGCTTCTCTTCTTGCACTCCTGTGATCATTTGGTTATTTTACATCAAGTAGTTTTGAGAAAGTTGTTTTTGAACTTGCAACTCTCTAAATGATTTAAAAATTTCATTTAAAAACTTTCTAATATTTGCATGGTTTATTTGGCTTTAAGAGAAGGAGACTAGAGGCAGTACTCAGAATATTTTTATCTCAGTTTATTTTTTTATAACACCGTTTGTCATTTGAGTCATAACATAGGTGTGGAGAAAAAAGTTTGGGAAACTTTTTATAATGAGAACCTCAGTTCCCAAGCTTTCCAGTCATTTATGACAAAACGATGCGGAAAACCAGAAACCCAGCTCATGGAAGAGAGAGAGAAATTGAAGGATGTAAAGCTAAACTGATTCCTTGTTCTTTAAGAATATGTGGCTGGGTGTCACAGACATCTTTTGTGAAAAATCCTTTCTTTAGGATTTTTCCCTCTTCTGAGAAGCTGTGGCTTCAGCAATAAATGTAAACAATGGTTATCTGCTGCTGTGGAATGTAACAGGTGGATCCGTGATTGGTCTCCTGTGGATGTTTGGATTTACTGACCACTCACAGCAGAGCTGTTCTCGCTTTCTGCCGGGACACAGAACTTTGTTATTCATTCCTTTTCTATTCTTAGCTTAGCTAGCCTTCTGAGAACTTTCCTTCTATTTCTTTTTAGTATAGTTATAATGTAATATATATCATAAAATAATAAATCAAGCCTTCTGAACATAGAATCAACATTCTCGTCTCTCTCTTCACCCTGCAACCCTTGCAAGCCCTGTGACACTTGGGCACATTTTTGTTTAAAACAAACAAACAATATCTACTTTTTAGAAAATTTTTAAAATATTAAAAATATATGTGAAAGAGAATTGTTGTACTCCACCTTGCCCTATAACTGAGATTAGGAAATTTATTTGACTACTGTAACATAGTCATAATTAGAACATGTGCTCTAAGAGAGAATGCAGGTAAGCCAAGAATAAAGTTTTTTCAGATAAAGTGGTTTTTTTTGCAGCCCAAAAGATAAATAGAGAAAGAAGCTTAAAATAGCATCTGTGTATTATTTAATATGTATGATGTAATATAAAGTATTATTTATATTGTGAAATTATTATTAATGTTTTATAATTATGCTGTATTAACATGAAAACTGTAAATAAAAAAGAGGATCGTATATCATCAAGGAATTTCAATAAATATTAGAATAAGCTTAGTTTTAAGCACATGTTTTTTCTTTAATTTTTCTTTCTTTTTGAAGTGTTTTCCTGTGATATTTAGTGTCTGCATATGGAACAAATGAAAAAAAAATTAACAGCATAGTGTCAGCGTACAGGCAAACAACTTTTAATATAATTGGCATAGAAGTAATTCAATAACTGCTTATTTGTCTATCTTCTTGATGGCTGAACTCTGCTGAACTTCTGATTGATATTTTTTGACTGTTTTGATCAGCATAAACCTGGACTTGATTAATGAAGATATACAAAGGAAGAACATTTTCCTGTTGGGATTCAAGATTTACTGCACTAGAAATTTAGAACAAATGTAGCACCTTATAATATGAATTAGATTCATTAATATTTTATTATTTCTTGGTACATTTTAGCATCCTATGATAAATCCATCAATTAACCTTTGCTAGGCCTAATAAGCTTCATTTAAATTTTGTAATTTCATATTTGTCTTGAAATTGCATGCTTATAAATATGCTGAACTTTGTGATTTATCCAAACAATCTGAAGTTAATGATTGCATAAGATGCATGCTGCAGTTAACTGATGAATTACCTTTATTTAGAATTTGTATTTTATACTTTACTCAGTCTAGTGTTCACAAACCTTGCAGTGTTTTCACACTACCTAGGTTTATCTGCTTTATTTGACTGCTGACAAAGTATGGAATTTTAATCTGTTATTGTAACAGACTGAAATGAAGAGAAATTTCTGTTATACTTTTATTGCTGCCTAAGTTGCCGCCAGAAAATCTGATTGAAAGTATTGAGAAAGCAGGCATGAAGAGGAAAGCGCAAGCAATCTTCCATTCTCTGTATTATGGCCTGACACATATTAGATCAGTGTCTTTTTGTGCAACAGACAGTCTGCCATAATGAATACCAATTTCATGCATGTTACACACAGGCAAGTCTCATTGCTCACCTTTTTCCTGCAGTTTTCTTAAAAATCCAACTGGATTATGAAGTCTACTTCAGTTGCCACATTCTTAGCATGAAGTAAAAAGACATTTTACTCTAACGTCCCCTGGAAAAGGCTTAAAACTTAGAAATAAATTCCTAAATTAACAACTTCTTTTATGGAAAGGAAACTCAGATGTGCAGACTGAAGAGCCACCACTTTGCACTGCTAACAGGTCTCTGACTTGAATGATAAGGGGATCAGGAATTGCCAGCCAGCCACAGAGACACTTACCAAGCAATTTAGATGCAGCCTTACTTACTGAACTCCACATTAAATGCAGATAGATTTTTTTGCTCCATATATTTTGACTGTATTTTCTCCAGAGCTGTGCACAGAAATATGACAAGCAATTCAGGTGCCTGACATGGGTAACTGGTGTCTCTTTAGATTCCATAAAGTGGAATAAAATCCCCTGGGGAGTGGCAGGTGTGACACAGGGCCTAACAGTGATTCCCATCTTTTGCAGGGGCATCAGGAAGCCAGATGAATTTTTTTGGGAGTCTGTAAGAGCATCAAGTAACTCTGTTCAGTCTCCTGTATCTCGTCACCTATGAAGAATGTTAGGTAACATTTTCCTTTTCTAGATATGACTGCTTCCGCTTTTCCTGTTTCCATTTACATTTGTGATGTTACATTTGTTTGCTGTAGAGTGATCCTTGTGTCACATTAGGTGACACTGTGATCCTACTGTGATCAGGAGCTACACAATGTGTACATGGAGATGCATTAACTCCCATCCAGATAATATTCTTACTGCCAAGCAATTTGAGTACGATAATGGAAGAAACAGAACTCCTCCCTCCCTGTCCCCCCTCCCAAGAAGAAAATAGAAAATACTTTGTAGCTAAGAGCCTTATTGCTGAGGTAGAGCAGCTTCTTCCACAGAAATATTTTCATCCCAAGATGCTAAGTACATGGCATGAAAGTCTGATTTGAAGCTGATCTGGGCTAGGCTTTCTCCCCGTGGTTTTAAATAGATGCATATTTATGTAGCTGTTCAGAAAAAGCAATATGTGTTGCACATATATTCTGATTCTTATGTTTCTCCTTGCAAAGGAGAAGTCCCAGTCTGACTCACTGTGTTTTCCACATATTTTGCCTAAGTGACACAGAACATATACAAGCATAGTAACTTTTATATATAAGCATAGTAACTTCTGACTTCCTTTGCAAAACAAATGCTTTTAAATAGTTACCTAACCACCTTCTTCATAGACCATGAAACTACCTCTAGGAACCTAATTTTAACTTTTCATATCTGGTGATTAAACCCATCCCTGTGTAACTCTATTGTTACTGAAGTGCAGTGAAGTAAATAATTCTTTACTAATGTCTATTTTTTACGTAGAGTTGAAATTTCATGTTCAATAGGACCAACTGTCGGACAACTTTATCTTCTGGTCACAGAGAGCACCAAGTGCATGTCCCAGAGGAGCAGCATCCAGGACGCATAACTTCTAGCAACATTCCTGACATCAGTCTGTCTGGTTACCTTGGCAAATCATTTCACCGTCCTGTGCTTCAGTTTCTCCATTTGTTAAAAGAGGGACACACACTTTTTGTTGAGAGCTTTGACAAAGATTTTATTATTCTGTAGACTAGTAGCATGTCAAGACCAATCTTTCATGTAGCAGAGAAAAGTACTAAGCATTTTTTAGATGACTATACCTGTACTGCCTGTTATATTGAAATTTGCAAATCTGCAAGGAAATTAGAATAATTGTTTTTCTCTTTCACCCTGAACCTTGTAAAAACAACTTATTTCTCAGAAGTGAGAGAAAAAGCAATGCTAATCAGCAGGAATGGTTTTAAGTTTGACATCTTGAAAGAGTACCTCAATTAAAAGGATAAATTAGCTGAATTTCTAGAATCTGAGTTACAATACAACTTAATCAAAGAAAAACTGTGCGGAAATATTGCATTTAACATCAGTTCGGTTTTGAGATTTTTTGCATTTTATCAACACAATTTTTATGCTGCTATTGCTTTTGTCATATTTATAAGAATTTCTAGGAAATCATGGTTTTACAATGAGTGCAAGCCAAAAATGTGCATTGGACCCAAATACTTTGTTTTATGTGGCTTCTCCACAGTGATTTTGCATTTCACTGCTTTTCAACAAGTTTTATGTAAAAATCTAAATTTAAGACATTAAAGTTAAGCAAACTAAAATTAAAACAATTTCTCTTTTAACATTTTTTGTAAGTAACGTAGTGCAATTTTCTAGGAAAAATAATCTACACTGTTATTCTCAATAGCATGTTTAACTGTCTCATCCATAACTAAATTTAGATGTCACTGCTAAAATTGGTTATTCTAGATCACAGTCACCGTGCAAAGGAGTGATTTTAGTACTGCCTCCACATAATGTTTCAGCAGAAGCTTCCTCCACAGGACATGTAACTAGATGCATTAAATTATAGTTTACACAGGATACAAATAATTCCTTCCTGACTGCAGCATGGTATCAGAGTATACCCCTCAAAGAGAGATCTGATTAGCCTTATCGTTATCTCAGCCACTGTAGTTAAAAATATTATTAGTGGGTATAATATTATCTGTCTGTACTTTTAAGACCTGGTTGAAAACAATTCTTTCATTATTTTCGGCAGTACAGATTTTTTTTTTTTTTTTGCTAAGACTATTTGGTGTAAAAGCATACTTTATAAAACATTGCATATTTGTCTTCTGTTTTCCTTTTATTGTGATATTGTGGTGTTTAAATATACTGGGAGACAAGCCAGATTATATTAACTGTTTTTTGATCTTTTTCCCTAATGTTTTATGTTGTATAGATAACCTGATTCTTTTCCTTTTCAATATTTCTCTTGTCCTGACTAAATAATTTAACCATTTCCATGCTTTCATTACACATAAAATCTGCTATACATCTCAGACACCTTTACTGACCCTTGCTGGGCCTATTTCATTCCCAAATGTGTCTTAATATCTTAATGTGTAAATTATTTTAGCATAAAAAGCATAATGGTTTCTGAGTGGCTGTTGCAGGCCATGCAGTCAATGGTCTGTGAACTCAAGTTTCTCTAAGAATAAAACACAAATGGTTAGGTCATAGTGACTGTGAAATAAAGTATTGGAACATCTAAATTACAATAGAACTGTAATTATATATTTTTTCCTTTCAGTAAACCCACTTTGAACTTTTAAAGTTTTGCACTATTTCCTGTGAAATCTCTAACAAAATTGTCAGTGTCTGCTGATTCCATGATCTGCAAAAGAAATTTAAACTGAGTACTGACAGAGTAGCATCTAAAAATTCCTTTCTTCAGTGCTCTTTGGAGAGGAGGGTAATTCAGATCATCTTGCAAATGAAAAGTGGTATGCCTTTAATCAAAGAAGCAAGAGTGCCATCACAAAAATACATTGTTTTGGGACAGTTAAATCAGTTGTACCTGGTCTAGCATTTAAAGATCAGTTTTAAGGTTTCTGTGATCAAGTTTTGTGGGAGCATATAAAGGGCAGAGTGAAAGACGTTTATGCCTAAAATAAGAGTTGGGTAATCTGAGGCCTCCTATCTCAGACATCATGAACTGTCAGCGACCACTTGGGTCAGCTACTGCTGGAATTGTGCAGGTTCCTCTAGGCTTGATTCTCTCAACTGCTCAAGCATTTCTGCACACACCCAACCCTGGGTACTTGGCATCCTCCAGCTAAAGAGCCAGCTCCAGAAGCCAGGGCTGGGCTTTGTCCTATGTACAGATGCAGGCATGGACACTGTGTAAATATGCACAAAGAAGCCTGTGATAATATGACTTCTTTAAAATAAATTGAGGGAGAAAAAAAAATGCAACGAACTAAAACCAGTCTCAGAATTTTTTTAGGCTGAGTTACCAAGCTGATCTAAAATGTCATGAATCGGGACTTAAAAGTGCCCATTTCTTCCTCAAGGCTAATTAAGGGAGCTTTTGAAGGTCAATTAAGATATAGATGCCTTCCTTTGACCAAATCATCCCTATGTGCTAGACATGTGTGACTCACTAGAAATTTTTGGCACACATTTTGGCACTGTCTCTCAGGTAGCATAAGTAAATATATTTACTTTACTTAGTCAAATTACAGATATGGGCATACCCAAGAAATTTAGCTGAAGCCATGTTTTAAAAAGCAGAGAAAACATAACTGTGGTGATTGCTCCTGTCTCTCATGTAATGGATTAATATTTTCTTCAGCCCAAATGCCTATAAAAATTTATTTTCAGGCCATATGGAAAGTCTCCACAGCATCAGACATAGGACAGTATGCACCAGAAAGTGCTGGACAAGGAAAAAGTAAGAATGATAAAATAATTCCACTCTGAAAAATTCAAAGTAATTTTGAAAGATTCATTGCACTAGATATGAAGAGTAACAGAATGACAACAATCATGAGCAAACACAGCATTAAAGCTTTAAAACCTGTTCTTATAATATTAGGTTTATTTTTGAATATTAAATAAATAAAAAAAGTCCTGAGGCAGGATATAGAAATTAAAGAGAGTACCACTTCCTAAACAGGCACTTTTAATAGAGCTCTAGGTTATTTTGCTCTGGTCATGGTGTGGCAATTTCTGAATAGGCTTCCAGGCCTTAACATGAAAGTAATTTCCAGAACAAAGTAGATCCTTCTCTTGTCCTGGCCTTCATTGTTTTCTTCTGGTCAGCAGGTAGCTCAGAAGGTTGACTTTTGGATTGCCCCACTACTGTTCCTGATGTTGATGTTCAACCATAGAAGGAGAGCAGATGAATTCCAAGTACCTTGAAAGAATGTATTGCAATTCAAATACCTGGTCATGAAGTGACACCTCAGCACGACAAAAATTATATTCTTCCCTTCCAAAAATAGTTGCATAATTGGTATATCTTAATACTTTTCTGTGCAGGATTTAAAAGGAATGGGTTTATTTTCTTGTTCAGTATTGAAGCTGAAAAGGTGACACATAGATATTCAGCAATTTCAACTAATTTGCTTAGACTGTTTAAAAAAAAAATTAAAATGAAAAGAAAAAGTATTGGTCTTGTGAAAAGATTGGAAAATTCTTTGAGGGGATTTAATTCTGTCTTCCCTAGCTTGCATGTTTGTATAGCAGTCTGTGCAAAATAAGAAATATTAAGGTAATAAAGTTCATCATTGAAGTTGTATCACAGAAATGACAGTCATGAGAATGAGAGAGAGAGAAAGAAAAAGAATAATTACCTAATGCTGTAATTATTATTACTAGTTAGACTGCTTTACATTCTGAGAGATTATAAAGAAACAAAGAAACAAATTATGTCTATAGAAATAATTACTACTAATCCATAAGAGGAGGAACTCAGAGGTGAAGACAGTTATAAGGCTGATCTTTTTCATTTTTCTTACAGACAACACACCAAGAAATCCCTTTCTACCATTTCTAAGACTGCCAAATACTTTTTCTCTGCTCCTTGGAAGAGTTTGGCTACCACAGTTTGTCTATCACAGTCTATTTTGGGTACTCAATATTACTCCAGAATATTTTCTGAACTAATTTTGCCACATTGCTCATGGGGAAAATTCACACTCTTTTCAGATAATTTCATCTGACCCAGAGCCCCACAGCCTGCTGGTGAATTAAAGATCTACATGAATGTTCTCTGGAAAAAAAGGGGGTAAGTGCCTCGTAAATGCTCAAGTCTGAACTGCTGAGCTCTTGCTTCCTGAACTGAGGGGAAACAGCCACTGTTTTTTTAGGAATGACCCTGGGTCTCTTATAACTTCCAAATATGGACCTGACATAAATGTCCCAGACTACACCATTCAAGGGACAATATTCTCACTTTCAGTAAAAGAGATTATTGAATTGCAGAACAGGGATGAGTTCTGTGGATTCTTTGTGAAAAACCAACAGACACAGTTAGCTCTAAAGAACCATATAAAAGAAATAATGATCTTTCTCAAGGCACCAAAATTTTTCATGGTGCCAGGGAGGCTGGGAGGCAGCAAAAGGGGAACCTCCTTAGAGAGTTATACATTAAAGACTGTTGTCCAGTCTGAAATCTGAGTGAACTACGTTATTTGTGCAAATTTCTTTTAAACTAGCAGTTCTGGGAGACTTTGTTGAACTCAGGGACATGAGCTGCTGCTTTTGAACTAAATTCTAATATATGCTCTCTTCCTCTGCTCATTGTAAAGATAAGAGCAGAGAGGAGGAATTAGATATACTTTGCTTCTTTTTGGAGTAGATGGTGTCACTGAAGTTAACTTCTCAGTCAAATTCCTGGCATATGAAGGCAAAAAATTAATATGTCACACAATGCAGTGACTCACCTCCTTTACACTGCTTTGCTTAATCTTGAACATTCCCTCAAGACAAGCTAGGAAAATTCTCTATTTTCATAAACATGAAATCAGAAAAGATTTTGTTTAAGCTAGTTTTTCGTATTTTTGTTTGTTTGTTTGTTTGTTTTCCCAGTAAGGATGGAGTAGAGAAAAATAAGTCTTTAAGGATTATGATCCTTGATTTCAGCATCATTATGAGCTGGTGAATGGAAAGAGGGCAGCTGGATTTAAATAAATTATATTGATACAAAAGGCACAGGAAAAGGAAAAAAAAACCTCTCAAACCTTAAAAAATCTTAAAATATGCTTTAAAACTCAGTGCAGTTGAAATCCAAAGAAACAGAGAAACATGAACAAAAATATGCTGTTGACTTACAGGTGATTTTTTTATCTGTAGATGGTTTTGAGAATCCTAGAATTTCCAGATCATAAATCTAACACTGATAGATATTTTGGGAGTAAAAGAAAAGTATTCTTAAATATTATAGAATAACCACAAAACCTATTTTGACAAGTATACGTAGGTCTGAATTTCAGTAACCTTCACATGTTTTAAGTGAGGCTTCAGCATTCCTAATAACAAGCTCTCAATTGCCATATTAAAAATTCAGGTTCTTATGCTTTGGGAGATCTTAAATTTGGAAATTTAAATTATGTCTAAATGCTTTTCTTGCAATCATTAAACAATATTTCCTGTATTTCCTGTTGAAGGAGTATTCAGCAACACCTTGAATTACCCTCTACTCCTGAACATTTAGTGAGTCTGGAACTTGAGCGTGATTTAGATTTTCCTGGCACTATATGTGTTATGCTATTGTAAATAAATTGCTGCTTTAACTTTACTACTGCACAAAGTTGAATGTCAGAAAACCATATTTGCATTTATACACAGAATAATTTCATGCTGATGCAAACAGTAATTAGTGATACTAGTGAAAAATGTTAACAAAGAGTTCATGTGTTTGCAGAAATAAAGATGAAATCAATAAGAATAAGCAATGAAAAAGATGCTGAATGTTTATTGTCTTTTGTGTAAGGTGAAGAACTGAAAAAAATTTACAAAATATATGTAATGCTTTTCAACCAGGTAACCAAATTAATTCTTACCTGGGGAAAATATATTATATTCTCCTTAATTTTTATTTTTTTAGGTCACTAAAACACAATGAAGAGCTGGAGATCTTGACTGACTTAATGTATTTAAATTCTTTTAATGGACAACTGGATTTGAAGGGTTTGGGATTACAATCAAAATCAATTTGATGGTTCAGCTCAGGCTTTAATGGATTACAGAAAGAAAGTCATCAACTTCATATTACTGTAAAAAACTGTGATCTCCTTCCATATTTGGAAGAAGTCCATCTTTTGATCCCAGAAAGAATGCAGAGAAGGAATTAATACCAACCTTCATTCAGTAGAGTCTGTTTTGTGAGCAGCCACTGAAGAAACATTTACAAATATCAACTTCACAGGATGCAAATCATAATTTTACAATGCTGAAATGAAATGTTGATATGTAAGATGTTAGAAAAAGTGTTTCTGCTGTTGCTTGCCCCTTTTCTCCTTTTGTTTTCTGGTGCTTTTAGAATCCCTAATCTGTACCTGGAACTGTGTCAAGTATGGGTGATACTGCAGCTAAAAAATGAAAACTTCTAGACAGTAGCAGATACCAGTTTTAAGGAGCAGACTGGCTTCAGCAGTGCCTATGTTTTTCCTTCGTAATATGTCTTCACTATCTGTAAGTATGACATTTTCTGGCAGGAGTTTTTGTGGTAATAGATAATGCTAAGCTAATAGAAGAGGATAGTCATGTAAAGTGAGTTCACTAACATAATTCACATTTTCAATCAGGCAAAAACAGCAGTGTCAACATAACTTCAATTCAGTATGATTCCTGTTTTGAATGTCAAGTACTCAGCAAATGTCTCACAAGTAACTATTCTTAGAAACTGTATGTCACATCACTACTTAAAGATATATAGGAGAAAACAGTTGCAGCTCTTAATTAACTCATAAACAAAAAACTGAAGCAAACCCCTTCTAATGGGATTGATAAGAACTGTGACTTCAGCTTTAATTTTTAGAAACTAGACTTTTTTGTTTTGCTGTGATACCTGTAAAATTTCAGTTTCTGTGTTTTGAAGGTATCAAGCTGACCAAACCGTGAGTTTAGCCTATATATGCAGCAACTCGGCCATAGATGCTTTTTAGCTGCTTGCATCAAAGTAGGCTCCTTGATACCAGAAATCCTGGGAAACTTAGATCCAGTGAGTTTTTTTTTTAAGCATTTGTTTTGGTTCTAACTTAGAGGGCTGATGAATACAATGTACACAGTACATTATAATTCTCTATGTACAATTCTCTGTGTATAATTCTCTGATTAATATCTCTGTGTACGGAAGAAAATGTTTGAATCAAACCTCACACTGTGAAACTGCAGAATGATGTCCAGCTTGAGATGATGTGACTTAGGTTCACTTAGGTGAATCCACCATGAAATCTCAAAATCGCTTAGGGGAGTTAAACAAAAATGACACGTCAGTTCACTAGTCTCTCTAATCCTCAAAGGATTCCTGGGATGTTTTCAATTTTCTCTGAAGACATTTGATTATTGTTGTACCACAGCAAGTATCTGATTTGAATAGGGTAGAATTGCAAGGGTAGAATTGCAAGATCAGAGGGAGGGTATTCTGTGTATTTGTGGATGAACTAGGGATTAGACATGCCAAAGATCAGCCTCATTGACCATATTCATAAATGAAGGTGAGGAGAAAGAATCATAGAATGGTTAAGGTTGGACCACAGTGGGTCATCTCCCTGCTCAAGCAGGGTCATGCTAGAGCACATGGCACAGGATTGCATTCAGACGGTTCTTGAATCTCTCCAGTCAGGGGCACTCCACAGCTTCTCTGGGCAATCTGTTCCAGTGCTCAGTCACTGCACAGCAAGGAAGTCTTTCCTCATATGGAGGTGGAACTTTCTGTGCATCAGTTTCTGCCCATTGCCTCTTGAATTATTGCCTGCCCCATATGGAGAAGATCCTGGCTCCATTCTCTTGACACCCTCCCTTCAGTTACTTGGAGCTGTGGATACGGTGCCCTCTCAGTTGTCTCTTCTTGAGTCAGAACAGGCCCAACTCCCTTAGACTGTCCTTATAAGAAGATGCAGATGGATGCAGAAGATACAGAAGTAACTCTTCAGTTACACCATTTCCAAACAACAGGATTTTACAGAGTCATTTAATTGTGATAAATTGTGCTCCAGAAGAGAGCACAGAACTGTGATGGGCCACAGGTACATTTTTTTTAATATGCCCTTCCTGACAGATATAGAAAATGCGAATAAAACCTGCAGCCACAAAAAGTTGGCCAGGGAGGTTATTGTTATATTACTTGAAGTCATGACATGGTCTCTTTTAAGCCTGGAAAAATTTTCTGGCTTTCACATGAACACAGTATGTTCAGATAGACTGGAAAAGGCATGTGAAAGTTAATATTTGATTTACCTAGATTTCTGAATGGATATTTTTAGTTGCTGTATTTACTTCTGATTATACACCTTGTAATCTGAAGTCAGTTCCAGTCAACAGCAGCTTCAATGCCAGTAGATGTATGGAAAGCCAGATACTGCTGGTCTTAATGTCAGTCTCCTAATCAGAATACCCTTCAAAATGAACTTTCATGTCCTCAGCTCCTGATTTTAGGACAAGCATCAGAATGATCAATTTTTATTCAACAGAAGCCACAAGTAAGCCTATGTTTACAGGCTGCATTTTAGTATTCAGTGTTACTTAGAACACAGACAATTTCCTAGTAAAAAAAACTGAGCTAGATTTGTTACTAAGTGAACCTAGAGGACATCTTCAGTAAAAATATAGTGACAAATAAAACATGCTGTCAGCTAAATCTTCATTTTATGGAATAGAAAGAGATTATCCGTCTAGGTCCTCTGATGATGGCATTCTGTAGAAGGCCGTAGGCCTTGTGATTGCCATGGGCTTTTATGGCCACTGTAGCAGTTTAGACAGGACACAAGAATACATTGACAATGAACTCCATGAGCACATTTGAATGACATGAAAGCATTTTGCTGTTTTTACAAGCCTAAGAGTTCGGCTTAGATTTGTCTCTCCTTGCTCCTTCATAATGTGCATTTCTGAAACTGTAGATCACTTTTCTATTGTATAACATATCCAGGTTGGTGTCTGCTCTCAGAACATATTAACACTCTTGTTCTGAAGCAGTTTTCAGGAAAACATTTTTTGACAAGAAGGCTATTTTTAAACTGGTGTGTTTTTTCCTTTATTTATCTCCAATACAATGGACTGTATTATACCTTTTTACTTCCAGCCCGCGCTTCTACATGCCACCTTCACATCATTCTCAGATTTTCTGTGAAAATAGCCAAGTCTTTCTGAGACCTGCTATGCAGGTCTTCCACGGAATAACAAATACATCTTTACAAACACATCAATACAAAATTCCAGAAAAAGACAGTGGAAGACTGCTAACAAATTGAGTGTTGTTCCTAAGGCCACAATTATCATTTACACATTTAAATTACAATTATTTATAGCAGTGATGACCACATGAATTTTGTATTGGGTCTGTCTGAGATGGAGTTAATGCTCCGTACAGGAGCCCTCAGAGTGCTTTGGACCAATAGCCAGAAAGGTGTTGGTAAGACATCAGTGTTTTGGCTACTGCTGACCCATGTTGGCACAGCATCACTGCTGCCTCTCCCACATTTCCCACCAGTAGGCTGATGGTGGGAGAGAACTTGGGAGAGGAAATGACCAGGACAACTGATCCAAATTGACTGAAGGGGTATCCCATACCATATGATGTCTATTCAGCAACCAAATCTAAGGGAAAAGGGTAGGAATGGGAAGTTTTGTCTGTCTTTCAGAGCAACTTCCACATCTACTGAAACCCTGTTTCCTGGGAAATGGCAGGGAAGTAGAAAATAAATATTTTCTTTTTGTCTGCTTTTTCTTTATCTTGACACATGATGGTATTTTTCTATCTTATTCTCTCCCTCTCCTGTCCTGCTGAGGAAAGGAATGATAGAGCAGCTTGAAGAGTACCTGGCATCAAACCAAGGCCAGTCCACCACAAGTATGGACAAATTTTCATCTCATTTGTTCCTGTAATATGACATTATGTAATAATTCTGTAGATGAAAATTTGTCAAATAATCAGTTTCTCTTAATGTCATTGGACACTGGCTTTGCAATAAAGAGTTGTTGATTTAATGTAAAATTAATCTCTGCCTAATATTTCCAGTAAAATAAACAAAATTATTTGTCTTTTGAAGCTTGAGACTTTGTAGGAGACCTTAATATATTATTTGAATTCAGAGAATATTCAGAGGCAAATCTCAACACTGCCAAGAAGATATATTTAAATGAAAAAAGGTATTACTTTTGATAAGCCTTCAAGGGAGTTCATTTCAGAATAAATCTGTTCAGAACTATACCTGTTACCTGCCTAAAGTTCTGTCTCTCAAAAACCTGATGCATGGTAATTTTCTTGTATTGTATGCTACATAGTAAAATGTGCATTCTTCTTAACACATAATTAGTTCTCTTGGGGCTTACACAAATTGCAGTTCTTATACACCTGTGGCTAGCACAAAGTAAATTTGAGTATTGAAAGCCTTAGGATCATGTCAATCTCTACAAGCTGCCCACTTGTGATAAGCATAGACTTGCCCTTTGAATGTTTTATTGAGCTACTAAATAAATAAATTAATAAATCATCCTGCTCTGGAACTCAACATCCAAAGATGTATTAATTCTACATCTAAGATAAAACATGCAACCCATTGCAAACCATTTTATACAAGTATGTCAATGTTTAAGATATTAATGCTGAGTTTGGAGATGAAAACTGCAGAATTGGGAAGTCTGATCTCTTGGGAGATTCACACAAAGATAAATACATAGAAAATTCTTATTTATACTCACCTGTTCACCCTTTAAGAGGAAGGCTTCTATATGTTTCCCCAGATTAATTAGCATGAGATATTAAAGTAATTGCAGAATCCATGTCATAAGATTGGTTAAAGTTATTTATCTGAATAGTAGTGACATTTCTTTGGTTCAATGAAACCATGTACATGACATTTAGTTGCTACATAAGGACCTCGTAATTGCTACTCAGTCAAGCCAGAAAATATGAAATGCTGTCAAGATCTTCAAAACAGAGTATGACTAATTAATTAAAATCTGTTGTCAGTTTTGAGGTTTAATCCCCAGGTTGGATGACTATTTTGTTCTATCTCAATGAATGACTGTTCTTGGCTAGATATGAAAATTTCATGAAAAATTTCTTCTGTGCATTCAGAAGTGCCAGAGTGGGCTATAGGATCCTTTTTTTCTAGATGACTCGTTTAAACCAGACCTCAGAGAGGATTGAATTGCTTTGGTCTGTGTGAAACAAGCCTTTTGATATATGACTGTTGACTCATGAAAAGAAACATTAGAGCTACTTGTGTTTGCCATATCTTTTGGAAATTGCAGCCAAGTAATCTAGCATAGCCACACTCAACAGTTGAACTATTATCTTTATGGTAAGCTTAATTTTGTCTGATTTTTAAATGCTGTGGTTTTATGCCAATTAGGAGACAACCTCACAGGACAGTAAACTGTCACTTTGTTAAGTACCCCATTTTCTTTCTTTTCTTTTCTTATACACTTTTAAAAAGTTGATTTATTAGCTCTTAATTAAAAGTACACTTCTTTCTCTTCATCGTTCACCTTTTACATCATCACTGTGTGAACAGTGGCTTACTGTGGGATCTGTACCCATGTGTTAGAGTAGTGGGATCAATAAGTAGGAAAAAAAAGACCATATATGCTAAAGCATGTGGGTAGGAAGCTTTTTTAATTGCTCACACTGGTATAAAATAATTCAGTCTTTTGGAGAAATAAGAGGAAATGCCTATTTGTTAGCTGTTACCACCTTTTTGTTCTAAGAAAAGAAATGTGCAGAAGCAGTGGTGGGAGAGGGGTAGAAAAACGGGGAAGAGGATGGAAAGCAGAATTTTATTGGAAGGAGAAAGATTTGTGTTTCCTGGAATTCCTACAGAAATATATAAAGCAGTAAGGGGTATTTAAATATGTCTCCTGCTCTACTGCAGTAGGGAAATGATTTGTTTCAGTACAGCTAATAGGCTTCTGTTTGCCCATCTTTTGGACTCTTTTCTAGAAATAAATTACATTCCATGATTTCTTTGACATCTTGGTCCCATTACACCATGACTTTGTTTTCTGGAAGGAGGAAAATGTGTGTGTCTGTGTTTGAGTATGGGGTTAGTCTGTCCTAAAATTTAACTGGAAATGGTCTTTGCATGCAATGGAGTTAGCTTTGGAGTACTAAAGTAAGTCCTGAAATTAGCTTGCTTTTATATATGTGTTTGAAATTTCTGTTGCTTTCATATCTAAAGTGGAAAACTTATTGAGTGCATAAGTGATAGAATTTAAAAACTCTTTGTACCTGTATGGTGCGTGCATCTATGGGAAAGCTCTTTACTGCAGAGATAAATGAGTGAGATAAAGGCCTTAGTGGAATTATGTTAATAAGAGATGATGGAACTGTTGGAGTAAATCCAAACTGAAATAATTTGACTTCCCCTGAATTGATTTGGAAAATAGTGAAAGAAACAAACAAACACACACACAAACAAACAAACAAACAAAAACAGAAGCAAATTAGTATTTTAAAATTTCAATTAAAAAAGAAAGGAAAAGGCAAGAAAAAAGAATATGAGGTGGTTGAATGGGAACCACTGAAAAGTATAAAGCTGAGGAATGAGTGAATATAAGATAATCTGTCTGTGAATGGGGAACAGAAGGGAAGAAAAACATAGAAATGCAAGTCCTTAGAAAAAGACCAAGTCTAGTAGGACTCAGCACTAATTTCTACTGGGATGTTTCTACTAATGAAAGGATGTTTTTAACTGTCTTCTGAAGTAGATAAGAGTTTTACTTGTCATTTATCTGAAGCTTATACTATTTCAGATCTTTTCTCTGATTAGACTCAATTTTGAATCACATTTTGCGACTCAGTATGTTTTAATCTAAATATCTGCTCAGGATACTCTGTGAATCTCTAAAGCATATTCTAAAAATGTCTTCTACTAAATATTCTACTTCATGTTGTCATGAACATATATCTGAATGGCTAGGACACAATTTATCTGTCTTAACATTTTCATTTTAAAATTTTTCACCCAAATCTGAGCAAGTCTCCAAGATTTTCTTTTTAATTGATTTTTTAAAATCTGCATACAAAGATGACAGTTTATTTCATATTGAAATATACATTTTAAATATGTTAGATCTATTGCCCTCCAGTTTTGCCTGTTTACAAGATTAGAATCATTAGTTTAAACTTTGGTACGAAGCTCACCCAGAACAAGTCTTTCCCTTTTTGTTTCATTATAAGCAGTACCTTTCTTTAAGCAAACATAAGTTTAGTTTTCAGGAATAAGGCTGATTTGGAGCTTCATTTTTTTTTTTTTGCATTTAATTTTATCTATTTCTTTCCCATCTGTTATCATTTAGATGTTTTCTGCTAAATGTTTTTCATTTTAAGCTTCCTCTAATTTCCTACACTTGTGCCATGAAATCACTTACACTTGGAGAGAAGCTTCAAGTAAAAATCATAGCTTCTGAGCCTCTGAGGTGCAGTGAAGGCAAAGAAAACTGTAAGTCCAATAAAATTCTATAATACAGAGTCTGTAGGATCTTAAATTAAAAATCCCAAAGGAATAATGTTAATTTAATGTACAAAATTCCAATAGAAGCTTCGTAAGAAAGAAGTATTCTTTTCTAAATCCTGTTTCAAGGCAAACAGATCTTAAAAACTGCGAGCTATTACCTGTGGGTCTCTTGTGGATATGTTGAGCTGGTATCTCAAGTTAAGTGTCCTCCTTTATGGAATATCTGGATGAGGTCCCATGCGTGGGCTAAAGCATCCACAGTCTAAGATAAGTTTCTAAGCTCTTATGCTCCCAAAGAAAGTCCAAAACTCTGCATTTTTAAGAGAGGACATTTGTTTAATTTTCAATACATTTCCACTCTCATCACCCTACATGCTTTTTAATAAAATATGTTCAACAAATCCTTCCATTAAACTGAAATGTAGTTTTATATGCTGTAGTGAAGGTACCAGCTTTCTCGACTTAAAAGATTTTGTATTCCACCAATTTTTTAAGAATATCTTACCGATATCCACCTCTGCTTTACTTCATCGGGGTGGTATAAAGAAAGCAGGGAACAACTATGTTATGCTTCCTGTGATTGTGTTCTACATTACTATTTTTCAATAATCTCAGTGAGGAATTGAAAAAACAGATTCCAATGATTGACCATCACCGTCTCATTCCCTCATATTTTTTGTAATAGATTGCTCATTCAAAGTTTCTATTTAATGAGATGGTACCTACTATGAGAATATTTTATATGTCATTGCTGTACTTGTTTGAATAGAGATTTTTTTCTGAACTCCCAGCTGTGAAGGCCAGCTCTCTAATTCAAGTTTGAGACACTCATGTTTTCCACTCTATTAGTCTCTAAACTTTCAGCCATAAATTTAAGTGAAAGCCCAACTAGAGTTTATAGCTCTCGAGATAAAAATCTTATGCTGTTAAATTTCTTAGGTAAAGAACCATTTTCTGCTGCTGGGGGTGTGAAACTCAGGCAAGGCTGCTGCAAGGTGTTTGTCATTCCGCAGAGATGAGAAATTATTGATCTGCCCTTCATACGACAATGGAAATGGTGCACACTAGCTTCTATTCCTTTGATTCTGCAGTCCCAAGGTGCAGCCTGTGTTGCTGGTTCTAGTCTTGTGCTTCATACCTGAGGGACTGAAGGAAGCACAAGCTGTGCAGTAAGTCACACTCTTCTCACAGAGAAAGATGCCTCATGTGAAACTTCTCGTGCAAGACAAATCAGCAGAAGGCAGTCAGACCCCCTGAATTTAAGCCCATAACATCTGAAAGGTCCATCCTGTTTCAATTTCCTGAAAGGGAATCCTAAAACTCAGCTCCAGCAGGGACTAAGATGAATAGTAGGACCATCATTCTTTTTGCAGTGGTTGAATTCAAGCTGGAAGACATTTCTGGATTTTTCTATTTTCTCTCAGTAGCTACTACTTTCTCATTCCTAGGCAGACTTCCAGAAGCTGTGAATTGCTGTGCATCATTAAACTGTCCATAACTGCATCAGCTACAGCTAATTAATGTTATGCTGTGTACACAAAAACATAGCTAATAGTACAGTATGTACTAACAAGCAACACAGATCACAGGCCTATGTAGGGCTTAACATCAGTCAATTGGTTCATTTTTTCCCAAATCATTTACTCCAACTTGATAACACAATCCTCTACCATGTATTGTTTTAATTTATATAGGTGAAACCAACTATAAGGGCAAATGAGGCAAGGAAGTGATTTAACTTTCAAACTGACTTCCTCTTAAAAAAAAAAAACAAAACAAAACCAAAAAAACCCACAAAATAAACAAACCAAAATATGTTTGACTTCTATTAGTGAAAGATATTTTTGGCACATATCTAAAATTCTTTCGCACAGAAGGAAAATGAGACAAAAGGACAAATAGTAAAAGGCAATGCTGAGCATTGTTGTACTGAGGCCTACTTTGGGATACAGGGACATACAGGGATGTAGGCTGTGTTCATAGTTTCAAAGGGAGAAGTGTGCACCTGCTTTAGGGAAATACTAACTTGCATCTGCATTGTACTACATTTCAATGGAATCCCACTGCTCTGATTAAAAGGTGCTGTTCCACAGCCGCATTATCTCATTCGCTTTGAAAGGGAAAGCAGCGGACTCGATCAAAACAGGCCTCCCCATGGCTGCGTTCTCAGAGCCGCTCTCGCAGCAGAAGCAGATGACGTGAGTGAGAATGGCTCTCTGCTAGGATTGTTAAATAAGTATCTGATAGAGAAAATTCTTCTCACCTCTTCTTTGTTCTCCAGCCTTATGCAAGAATTAGTAGTCCTGGCAACTATCAATAACGTCCTTCAACTCTCCCTTCTCTCCACTGGGTTTCTATGAAACTGCTTTCTGTGAAGACTGTGATATTTTGTTAGACTTTCTTCCTGCCCTCTAGAAGTGAGTAATATGGTTAATTATGAATTTGTTGAATATACCAGGAAGTAATTTGCAGTTTTTCTTCATATTCATGAAAATAGATTATAAATTAATTTTATTGCCCTTAATAGATCATGTTTTATTTGACTTATTTAAATTCTGTCTGTTAGAAGGCCTTGTGAATTATGCCAAAATTCCTAACTTAAAAATAAACAATGATTTTATTGAAAGTAAATTACTGTCTCAGAAATTTTGAGCCACCTAAGAAGAGGTGCCCATCATCTTGCTGCACTGGAGTTCAGCTTAAGAATATCCAATTGTCAAGTGCAATGTCAATGAAAAATACCACAAGATTGGAAATTAGAATGTCTTTAATATCATTATGGCAAACAGTTTACACAAATACAAGTAGATGGCAGATGTCTTAGTCCAAAGACCTGATAACAACAATACTGTATGCTATAGGTAGGCATGTCTGAAAAAGTCACAACACTACTCATAGCCATTAGGATTTCTTCTGTTTTATCCCTGAACACTTTCTCTCTTCAGAAGGTTATAAAATCCGCTATGTCGGCTGTCTGCCTATTCAGACTGACTGTAAGAAAATGGAATAAAGGTGAGCAAAGATAAGTGAATAAGATGGAGGTTGGTTGGTTTTCATGCTGAGAATCCAAAGATATTCTTGATTTGGAGCTTCCAGGTTCCTGTTGGGAAAGTGATACAGAGTAGTTTGTTCACATGAATACAGCTGAGCTATGGCAGAAGATGTGTTGAATGTCTTGGAAATCAAGAGAGAGGTGGACAATAACTGTGAATGCTCGAACAAAATCCATGGACATTTTTCTCATAGGAGCTGGAACTCATGAGTGTAGAAAATGTCATCACAGATCTCATTAACACCAGCCAATATTCTACTTGGTAGCAGTACTAACCTATCCCATTACTTTCCTATTAATCACTGTTCCTAATATATCACTCTTTAAGATCAAAATGTTTAGGTCAAAAGCCAGAATCAAAGATTTCTGGGGTCATGGTGAATTGTGTAACCTTTTCTGTATTTCACAAAGTCAGGGAAAAATAATTTGCTTCAGTCAACCTTATTATGTGGTTAAAAGGCACATATATAAGGCAGAGACATGTAGGAAAATTTCTGACAGTAAGCAGAGGATGGAGCATTAATGTTTACACTGTTCTTTCCAAATACTTGCAAGTTAGAAGCTTGTCTTCCACTGCATCCACTGCAGTCTGGCTTTCTTAAACTTTTTTTTTTCTTTTTTTTTTTTTTTAATTTTTATGTTCTTATACTGCCAACAAAGCAGATTGTTTATGAACTGTCTGCCTGAGTACACAGCTCATATACTTGCACTACTGTTGTGACTTTCATCCTGTGCACATTTGGAGAAAACTGCTGGCCAATTTTCACAAGCATGTCTCTCTAGTTATTGCATCTGATGCATGACTCAGTCTACGTGATTTTTACACAAGTTTATTTTAATACATTGCTGAACTTCTCATCTTTTGAGGTACAAATACAAAAATAAAAGAATTTATTTACACAAAAGATTGACAAACCCAGAGTTGTACTTATGTTTGAATAAGTTCACAATACTTCTTAAGCAAACTTCAACATTTGAAGCTCAAGTAAATTTGTCAGGTTTTTAGGGGCTTCTAGCTACTTCTCTGCAACAAGCAGAGAACCCTTATTGACTTCTGAGTTCTTGATTTATGACTTATATTAGTATTTGGTTTAATTTTAAGAGATGCCAGATAAAAGGTGTAAATGGCATGTAGGTTTGAGGGCATATTACTTATAAAATTGATCTCTATTGAAATTGATTACATAGTCAGCAAAGGAGTTCCCAGTAATGAGTGGCTTGCAGACATGGTTTGTACTCAGACTTCCTAGGCCAAACATTTACATTGTAAGTAATCAATTTTGCCTCAGTTTACTCTGCTTTCTGCAACATCCTATATGCTAAAACTATTTTATTGACTTGAGAAAGTAAAAAAAGAAAAAAAAAGTTAATATTCAGTACTCCTAGAACTGTAATGAAGGTAAAGTCCTTAGAAATTTTTATAATCTTCATGATTAAATTCATATAGCTTTTTTTTTAAGTGATATTTTCTATTTTACTCATTTATTACTCTGACTCTGAATGGCTTGTTCTTACATAAAGACAAACTTTAATTTGATCAGCTATAGCTAAATCTATTTAGTCCTTCCTCCAAACACCTAAATGGGTGTAACATTGTGGTTAGATTGTCATATTGACAGCTGTACTGCTTCTCCAGGAGAGGAGCCGAGAGAGGGAGAGAGAGACAGAGAAAGAGAGAGAGACAGAGAAAGAGAGAGAGAGAATGCTGACTAAACTTGTTTCAGAAGCAATGGAAAATCTTTTAGAAGATAATGATGAACTATAATGATAGGTAAGAGAGCAAGATACAAATTATCAAGTAGACTTTCAATTCAGGCTGCTTTGTAGACTTCATCAACACAACTGTCACGAAGAGGGCAGATAAAAGGTGAACACAGGTTCTCAATGCTACCCTTTATCTCAGAAAAAATCTATTGCCACCACCTCAGAAAGATTATTTTTGTGTATGAGGAACACTTAGTTATTTGCAGAGCTGATACATAGAGTGAATGACAGATTTGCATAAATGGTGACACATTTGAGGTGATTTCATTTATAATCCCAGGGGAGGAACTGGATTAATTCTGTGAGGAACTGAGAGTACCCATAAACCAGGGTTACTAAACAATTTATAGAGCCTCTGAGTCCTTGAAAGGAATCTTTAATATTATGCCCAATCTTTAATATATGTCCAATAACTACAGAAGGACAGGCAGGCTGGATTTGGGCTGAAATATATAAATGAGAAGGCAGGAAAACTGCTCTGCAGAGTGACCCTAACAAGACTGCTTCAGGTAGATGGTGTGAGAGGAGAAGATTCTTTCAGTAGAGGCAGACATTTTTGACCTCGGTCACAAAAGTCAGCTTCCAATTGTTGTGCAGTTACCCATCCACAGCATAGTGATGCATATAAAGCACCTTTGATAAAAGGACTTTATATGGTGGTTTCTCACAAAAAAAAAGAACCTGTAACCTCCCCTTCAATTCTCCCTAGTGATAACCTCTCTGTTCAACCCTTTCTCATACCCATTGAGGCTGTTCTCTTCTTGCTGCAGGACAAAGGTGTATTCCTTCCTGCCTTTCTCAGAGCCAGACACATAAGATTTTTCTGGCTGTTCACATGAACTCTGAACTAGATGATATTTCTATTAATCAAAAAAAAGGTATTGTTGGCTTTCCTTAGGCTTTGTCTGACCTCAGTCTTCAGCAGTAGGAGGTTATATCACAGATTTTGGAGAGAATAATCTTTACAGGGCATCCTCTTACCACCTACCTCCCACTACTCACTGATATTTTTTCTGCATGTGTATTACTTTCTAAGGACTGCCTTTTATTTGGCTTTTGCTGAACTAGTGTCTGACTGATTCAATGATCTTTAGAGTCAACCTATCAAAGCAGTTAGGATAGTTAAATCAAAATTTACCAGCCTACTCAAATTTACTTGGTACATTACCTACCTAATGATTGCGCATTGCATACACTGTCTTAGCTTCTAATTCAGGAAGGTCATTTGAACACCAAAGAAATGTGAAATTGTTTATTGATTTCTTAATTATTCAGTGCTTATGGTTACTTCTTCATATTCCATTATGTTGTGGTTGGGATTTTTTTCCCACTTGAAAGTTTAATAAACCAAGATATTAAAAACTAAACAAAGGAGTCTTTAGCAACACAAAGGTCAGGACTGTGATTTTGAAACATTGCTATTCAAATAATAAATATGTTAAATTCTCTTCGAGGGAATATTTCCTTATTCAGGTAGTTAGATTTAATTTTGCTTATTTATATAATGTGAGTGCATATATATAATATGCATACATATGTACCAGGACTCATCTCTATCTGTCTAACTGTGATTAATTTCCTTTTCCCACAGCAGCCCTCACAGTGCTGTCCTTTGCTTTGGTATTTGGAAAAGTGTTCATGGCACACCAGGATTTTGGCTCCTGCTGAGCAGGGCTGGCACAGCGTCATTGCTGTCTCTCCAACATTCCAGCCTCAGCAGCAGGCTGGGGATGGGCAAGATCTTGGGAGGGGACATAGCCAGGACAACTGATCCAGACTGATCAAAGGAGTATTCCATACCATATAACGTCAGCTCAGATAAAAAAGCTAAGAAAAAGGAAGAGGCTTTCATTACTTGTGACATTTCCTTCTGGAGTAACAGATATATGTGCTAAACCCTGCTTCTTGAGAAGAAGCTGGGCAACACTTGCTGATGAGAAATAGAGACTAAAATGTTTTGCATTTTTCTTTTGCTTTAGAAAACTTATCTCGACCTATGATTTTTTTCCCATGTTAATTCCTGCTCCTGCCCCTGCTGAGGAGAGGAGTGACAGAGTGCCTTCGTGGGTAATCAGCGTCCAGCCAAGGTCAGTGCACTGTGGGGACTGGAGCAAAGCGCAGGGAGGAAAATCTTGAAGCTGAGGGTTATTGCAGAGTCAGGCTAAGACAGAAAGCATAGTGCTGAAGCAATCGTGTTCCCTGTTGCTGTATGCAATTGTGAGGCAAACCTTACAATTTCACTTATGTATGAATCTGAAGGAGACTGATCTTGATCAATACTTTTTACAGAGCAACATACATAAGTATTGATAGCTGTTAAAGAAAACAGGATTACTTTTTCAAAGAGGTTTTCAGCCCAGGTTTATATTCTTTTGCTATCTTGCATTCCTTACACTACTAATAGACCAATTTTATTGAAGCATCTTTTGTGCAACTGCTGAACAACTAGGCTATTATCCTAAAAATGCTCAGTTCAATTAAGAGTGTCCATTTGCTTATGTAAGCAGAAATGATACTTTCCCCCCCTTTCTTGATTACATTTAAGTTCATGGAATTTCAGTGACTCATAACCTTTCAAATATAAGAAATTGGACATTTGCCACATTCTTTGCTTTATTAGCACAACTAATGGAATAATTTACACCAACTAATTTATTTGACAACTTTCCTCCTACTTCTTTTTTTTTTAATTTTACCGTTTTCTTTATTATGTTAGATGAAACTGGTCACACAGCAAATTATTTAATTGAATTTTATCGTGTATAGTTGAATGATGTTGATGATGTTGTTTTCATTTGAACCTCTAATTATAGCTTGCCTCATTGTTCCACATTCTAATTATCATCATACTTAAAAACATAAAGAAACAAACAAACAAAAAACCCAGCATTGTTTTCCTATACAATCAGTACTTATAGCAATTTTTCTCTATTGCAAGTAATATGAATCAAAGGATGCCTTGGATTGTCAGCATCCAAAATAGCATGAAACTGCAAAACAATGTTTAGACAACTACATCATGCTAACCAATTTGCTGAATAGTGTTTCTCATGAAAGTAAGATAAAATTTATATTGGACTGATCCAAATACGATTGCCAAGAGCAAACCTGGTCTCCAATATCCCTTCTGTTCCATATTTTGGTTCCTTACAGAATAGTCCTCTACAATTGCACTCTGCTGCCAAATTATGCACAATACTACTTTTGTGAAATGAACAAACGACACTGAGGGCTAATTTGAGGCCATTTAGATAATTTCACTCATGACCCAAGACAGATTTAAGCCCAGGCCCTATGAAGGTAGCAGGCAAATGTATTATCTTATGGTATTATGTATTGCTCCAGGTCAGGAAGACTTCAATAACATTAAAAAAAATCTCCTAAAATTGAAATATTAATAATTTATAAAACAGAAACCTCAACTAATAGTCTCTGTTCATTTTCAATACCACTGTGACTTGTTGGCTATATTACAGAAATATGTTTTATCTGGTATAGCTTTTGCAGCAATATGTGTAGTAGGATCATGCTTTTCAAGCAGGCATCTGTATAATTTTGCCAGAGTTGCTATGCATTGCAAAGTCTATAATTTTTAACTGATTTTGCCTGACTATTAGTCAGAGATTGGAGATCTGGTCCTCTAAAACTCCCTAACTGTGGGAGAATAGTCCACATAGGTCTCACCTTATGTGTCAGTCACACATGTATGTTGTTATGTTAAAGCAGGAATTTAACTAAGGCATTAAGATGCCCAGCTGTTCAAAACCCAAAAATTAGATATCTGGCTGAAGACTTGCAATTCCAGGCTAGCTAGGCACCCGAGTCCTACAAAACCTGTACAGCATAGTGTATGCAGTGCTTTTGCATTTAGTAACCTGTTAAGTAGCAGGGCATAATAGTCTGCAAGTATGCATGCCTCTCGCTCAGGGCTGCAGTTGAATATTTCTGCGAAATAGTCTTACAGTCTGAGGAAGCTTTCTGTATTAAATCTTGGAAAAGCATCATGTTGTTTTTTTCCCCTTGGATGGTTTCTCTCTTTGCATTCATTCATGAATGCTATGAAAATATAAAATAATTTTCTGCATTGTTATTTTAATTAAGATCAGGAATGGTTTTTAGTTTTCCATCCTGCCACACATTAAGGTTTATCATGCAGTGTTTTAAAGTTCAAGAATTAGATAAATTTTGGATTTAAACTGGACTGAAAGATGGGCTACTGGAGAGTAGCGGATTAATATATGGTCTCTGCCACTAATCTGTGTTCTGCCTGATGTGAAACCCACGGAAATATTTAGTTTGTGTGTGACTGTTTTGCTGTGAGGGCCCACTTCCATTGCACCATGCTGCTCAGGAAAATAGGCAGAGCCAAATACAGGAGAAACCTCAGGTATCCTACTGGACAATAAATTTATAAAAATTGGGCTACAGAACCAGGATCCATTTTGCTGGCTTTGCTTGGGATTTGATGATCCTGTTTTCCTGACAGAATAGCATTTCAGGGTCAGAAAGGCACTGGGTTTTCAAAAAATATCGGAAAGTCTGTTACTCAGGAGTGTTTTTAGGCTGTCATTTAAATTCCGTGTTGTAAAATCATAAATTCAAATCTGCTGTGTCAGCATTGGACCTAATGCGTTGGGTTTTGGTCTCCTAAATCAGGACCTCAGCAATATACTACACAGTGAAAAAGCCCCAGTACTGTGATGGCTTCATTTCCTAACAGAAAAGAAATTCCTACCTCAGCCATGAAATCTAGATAAGATTTTTTTGAACTTTTCTGATCAAAATATCTGCATCTAATTAAAGAGCAAGAGTTCTAAATCATATAATATAGATTAGATTGCATGTAACTCAACCCATAGAAAATTATTATTACTTAATAGAACACTGAATCTTGGCTAATAGTGCTCAATTCTGAATATATTTTTGCAAGGGAAAAGTGATGGGTTTGTCATTAATAAAAGCAATTCTAGGGAAATGTTGGGAAGTATTTTTTATATATTATCAACAAAGTCACTGGGTACTTTTTTACAAAAAATATTTACATAACGACTCTGTTCAGTCAATAGAAAGCTCTGTAGTGATAAAAACTCCTAGAAGTGTTAATAAAATATTTAAGTTGGGCTGACTAGAATCCGTAAAGAATTTTTAGTAATTTCTTTATTCTTATTGTCACCAAAGTAACATGTTTCTAATGTTTTTTTTCTTTAGGTTTTAACTGAATGCTCAGTTTAAATATGTATTCAGTAAGACTTCTCAGCAGATTGGAAAAAATATGTACTTTTAATAAAAATTATTTTAAATACCCCAAGATATCATACAGGACTAAGGACATTCTGATGTGAATGGCTCTTTGTATTATGCCCATTACTTTATTCCTTGTGTTTATTTTCTGTGCAAAGACATCCGGGCTAACATCAAGCGCCTAAAATAATTGCTTAAGAAATGAACATTCTTCTATGCTATGGTTAATGGAGAAAGAAAGTATATCCCTTGCAGAGGTTATTCAGCCCACTGTGATCTCCTTGCTTTCTCCACTAAGTATAGAAGGAATGCACCCAGCTAAATTAATTGCTTTAATTAGCTGCCTAAAACTAAGCTATGCTGTTGAGTTTTGAGGATTGTTCTGGGAAGAATTTGCCAGGATAATCCTCGGGGGCTGCAATACTTCACTAATATAATACTTAGTTTAGTTAAAGAACAGTATTTAAATGTAAGAGATGCTGATTTTGCATATTTAATCTTTCTTTGATGTTACTATTCATAATTGAGGTTTTTTTGGTTGTTGTTGTTTTTTTCCATTCTTTACAACTAGTTTTAAACCGTAAGACATTCCCAAGTAAAAAACTATGCTCAGTGTACTACAGTCAGTCTAAAGTACTTTTACAAAGCTGTGGGATCAATATGACAGACTGCTCCTGAATTACTTTTAGTAATTATTAGAGTTTAATTTGAAGGAAACAAAAGATGTTGAATTTATCTTCTTGACTTACAGACCAGTTCTCCAGTTACTTTTGAATTACAAAGATTGTCAAGAGCTGGTAATGACAGTTAGTGCTTAATTTAGGATTGTAATGGTCAAAGTGCATGTCCAGAACACTAAATACAGTTCCTGAATTGCTAAAATGTGACTCAGCTGTATTCCAATCTTTATTCAATTTATACTTTGGACAGGTAACTGAAATGGAGAGAAATAATGGTTATATGCTACATGGATAGTCCTCATTTTCTGGAGCCAATGAGGGATGGGTCTGGCAACTGGGAATAGCCAGCGCTTGTGTTCAGTTATATTACATGTCCACCCATAATAATGAATAATAGGAGTTTTAGCTAGTGTAGAACTACACTGTTGTCTTTAGTGTTCTGGTACAAAAGTAATTTGTAACAGCTATTGTCATGGCTTAACTCCAGGCAGCAATGAAGCCTCACGTCAGTGCTCACTCACTCACTCACTCACTCACTCACTCACTCCCACATCCTGCAGTAGCAGGATGGAGCAGAGTCTAGGAAGAGTAAAAGTGAGAAAACTCATGGGTTGAGATAAAGAAAGTTGAATAGGTGAGGCAAAAGCTGCACATGCAAACAAAGCAAAACAAGGAATTCATTCCCTATCTCCTATGGGCAGGCAGGTGTTCAGTCACCTGCAGAAAAGCAGAGATCTGCCCTGTGTAAGAATGACTTGGGAAGACGGATGCCACCACTCTGAACAGCTACCACTTCCTCCTTCTTTCCCAGCTTTATATGCTAAGCATGATGCCGTATGATCTGGGATTTCCCTTTGAGGTGGGATCACCTGCTGTGGCTGTGTCTCCTTCCAGCTCCTTGTGCAACCCCAGCCTCTTCAATGGGAAAAGCAGAAAAGGTCTGTACTCTGTGCAAGCACTACTCAGCAGTAGCAAAAGAATCCCTGTGCTATCAACACTGTTTTTACCACAAATCCACAGCACAGCCCCATAACAGCTACTTTGAAGAAAATTAATTCTACCCCAGCAGAAATCAGAATTATTTGTAACTATGATGGCTTATAGCTCTTTACAGCAGAGCTGCTGGAGATTAAACCAGAATCCAGCACCTTGTTTCCAATAGGTAATCTTAAAATGAAAGTAGCACACATCATTTTGCTTATCATAATGAAAGGCTATGTGGAGCAAATGAGTGTCTTTAGGACAAATGGAATCTGTGGCTTTGTAGCTTCTCCATGTTGTTGAAGATTTATGGCATGGGAACTACAAAGGGTCCATTATATTTTTCAAATAAATATTGGAAAATACCATAAAGCAGAATCAAATCTCACTCATATTTCCAAGGCCAGAAGTCTTAAGCAAAGGCAAATATGGATCAATTTTATTTTTCACTTGAATAACATATAAATTTTCTGTGAAAACTATTGTATGCTATTCAAGTTTGTCTTCTTGTACTTGTTTGATTTTTAATCTGAGGTAATAATAATTTCTTTACCAAGGGAAAATATTTTTCTTCTAACCCTTCTATGAAAAGTTATTCTTTTGAAAAAGGATAAGAGATGAAATTCTAGAAAAAAATTAAACTTTGCTGTGTTTGAAGACATGCCAGGCTCATAGAGGAAGAGAGATCACTCTACTACTGAGAATGAAGGAAAAAAAGAGGCTAAATAAAAGATGTTTGCATAATGTTTTAATAGACAGGTTTCTTAGTGAGAGTGTGGCTTTTCTTTAACCTCTTGTGCTGTATTAAGAAAAGAGGAATTCAGTGCTAGACACACTGAAAACTGATTAACATTTGACTATTTACTTCCAGTTCATACAGTTAAGTATGTTGGCATTAAGCAGATAATGTACCTAATTACTTCTAGAAGGAAGTATGAATAATTTGATTCCTCCTTGGATGTTTGTACAATGTAAATTAAATAAAAAATGTTTTTTTATGAATTCATGCAAATTTTGCTACTTTCATTTCAAAAAGTGTGCATATACCCAAGAGGAATATCTTAAACTATTTCAAAGTTAAAAAAAAAAGAAATAGGATGAAGACTATGTGTCCAAATCTATCAAGTGCTTTCCACTGTCTTTTTGAAGATATAAACACAGTTTCAGTTCTTATTCATCAAGAGGTTTAAGGATATATTAATTATTTGTCTAAACTGGACAGATTCTGCAACTTTTTGATCCAAAAATAAAACTGAAATCATATTAATTTACTGTGACTTTCAAATATTGCTGTTGCAATAATATCAAGAAGCATGATATTTAAGGAGAGAGAAGGGGGAAAAATCCCTATTCACATTTTTCCTCCTCTATGTCTGGATGGAAATATACAGGGAGGAGCAGAAAAAAGTGGATCAAGCTGTGACCCTGAACACCATATCGCCATAGACACATTAGAAAAGTTTCTGTAAGCTAAAGTCAGAATAAGTCTTTGGAATGCATGCAGAAGCAAGGAGTACTAAAAGACATTCAAAACTTAAATTGTAACACTGAGAATTTTTATTATTTGACTTCTTTGGTCAGTGGTGTCTTGAAACTCTGAATTTCTCTGCCTAAATCTGCTCTTGAATCTCATTTGTGAAGCTTTCTGAGATGTACTTGTAATGAATTAAGATGCTCAAAATGCTGTTGCTGCTAACCTTTTTAGCTTTTAAGTTTTTACTCCAAACAGTAGAAAAATAGATGATAATAAAATGTATCTTTATTTAATTAATTTTATTTCAAACTGTGTAAAGACACAATTCACTTCTCTGCCAAAGAAAATGGTATCTCACATATCCTTATATTTATCTAATACAATAGCAGTGAGATTATTTACTGTTTCATCTAAGGGAATTCTCTGTCCATTTATTGCAAAAAAATTGTTGAAAAAAGATTAATTTTTGAAATATTAATCAGATGATCAATAACAATTAGACACAAAATTTCTATTATGATAGTCAGAGATAGATTTCCAAATTCAATAAATAGTATGACTATCTCAGGGTTGAGTTTTTTTCAGACAGATTGAGCACTCAAAATTTTTTACTTTAATTAATGTATTGAAAAGTGTATTGTGGCTAAGAGGGATTAGATTCAGAAGCAGAATTTTGTATAGGAAACAGATTACAAAAGAGATTCCTCAGACATCCAATCCTGAAGAACTTCAGGTTATAATAAATCAGCTTTATTTTTAAATTATCACAATTAATCTATTTTTTGTTTTTTTACACAATCATCTGATTATCATTAGACTTTGGCCATCAATCCGTCACAAAAAAGCATTCTCCCACTGTTCACTTTTTAGCTTTGTATTGTCAGATTCCTACTTTGCAAAGTATCTTGGCTTCAGTTTTGAAAATGAAGATATTCTCAGGAAGAAAGACTTGAGACTGATCTGCGTTTTCAAATGTATCATTTTCATTGGTAATTGTTTTCCTCCAAACCACAAATATCTTTATAAATTTAATGCAAGCTGAAATATGTTTTAGAGTCAGAAGGAAAAGAAAAATATCTAATAGAATAAGGAAAATCTCAGGATACAAGAAACCTATGTTTAAATTATGACCAAGAATTAAGTTTCCACATCTCAGATAAGGGTTAGTATTTGTATCTTTAAAAAAATATTTGTTTCCAAAGAAGAACAGTTACAGAACATTGTGTGGTTAAGCTATCCACTTTCAGAACTTCATTTATGTTTAATTATCTAAAATTTGTTGAGTTTCATTTTTATGCAAATGTGAAATTAAAAAACTCTAAAAACTGGAAACTATTATGCAAATAGAACTCTTGTTTTCCAGTTAATCTTATCAGGAATGAGGAAGGAATAGCCTAAATTTGTGTTAAATAATGAGAAAAGTGCTAGAGAAAAGCTTTTCTCAGACATGCTTATGTGTTTGCACTTTTTCTTCCATTTGAGGAATGGAGGAATTTTTGGTTGTTGTTGTTGGTTGTTTTTTTTTCTAATAAATAAAATTATTTCTTTCAAAGATTATTTTTAGCTTTTTTCAATTGTATAACTGTGCCAGAAGTCAAGTGACATGTCAGCTATTCTCTGTGTCTGAAGATGCACCATTTGTAAGTGATCCTTTCTGCTGGGGGAAAACCAGCCTCTCAGACCCCTGAATCTGGGTACTCCATCCCAGAACATTCATGTTCAAACTCCCGCCCACCCAAAGATCCTTTGCTCTGATGCTGTAGTCACTAATGTGAAATATCTAGATATCCCATTTTAATTTATTGCCTTACTTTTACTCAAGAGCTCTAGTTTTCCTCTTATTTTCATTATGCTTTATAAAACAATAGAGTTCGTGTATTTGACATCATTAAAATGTTTCATTGATAATAGGAAAAAGAAAGTTAATATAAACCCATGAAAACATTAACAAAATTTTGACTACTTTTTACTATTCAGTAATCTAATATGTTTTTTAAACCAGAGCGTCTTAAAAAATGAGCGGTTATTGAATAACAATTTCAATTACATTAACCCTCAAGAAAAAAGACACCTCTTATACAGACAAAGAGCTGTGCTGGATAACTATTTTGCATGATATGATCACACTCTGAAAGAGTTAGATCCTGAAATATTTTAAATGCATTACTGATTGCAGACAGATGCATTCTGACTCAGAACATTTTAGAGCTAATTGAAATCCTGACATGGTGTTTAGGACAATGTCCCTTCTAATTCTTGCAATCCTACCAGTTGGCCACAGCAACATCATACTGCATTAAAATACATCAGGATTTTCAAAGCTGCAGTTTCCATTGTGTAAAAAGCAAAGGAAAAGAAAGGGCAGTATTTTGCCAGAGCTTTAAGTGTATTGTGTTTATTGCACTGCATATATTTCTATTTTATACCCACTTTTATTTAGTTGTAGTGATTGAACTTTGGTTATATTACTGCCCATTAAAATGGAGTACCATGCCCATCATTCACTTCTAAATGCTGACATAAAACTTTCAAAATATGTGAAACATTTATATTTAAAATAATAAATTGGAAAAACCCAACCCACACTGAACACCCTATACAAAGAATTCTGGGTAGAATTTCATCCAATACATATTTATAAGAATTATAAATCCTGTGTATCTTACACAGCTGTTAGCAAATAATTATAAAGTCAGATGACAAAAATAACACTATATTTCAGCACTTCTGTGATTCTCAAAATTCTTATCCTTATCTTGCTTTAATATTACCTTGTTTTCAAATCTGTTGGAAATTCAGAGCTTTATGACTTCATTGGACTCCTGATTTTCTGAGGGATGCACATGCATGATATAAAACAGACCCCCTTAAATATATCAGGCAGTAATATATTATAAATTCAAGAACTGTGAGCAAAAATATGGTTTATTAAATATTTGTAATTACACATGAATATTGTTATTCTTGAAGTCAGAAGTGGTTTAATAAGTCAGAGTAGTATAAAACAACTCGGGCACTTATATACTGATATTGAAGAATTTTTAATGCTGAAGAAAGCACAGAAAGTAAAATAAAACATAAGCAGAAAGAAAATCTAGAAATTAGTTTGGAACTAAGAAGTCTTTTTTTTTTCATTTTGCCCCCTGATTTTAGCTCTATTATTTATGCAAATATTTAATGATGGTGATGATGATGATGATGATGATAATGATAATAAGTGGGAACACACTGTCCTTAGGAAAACTATGAAATAATAATAATAATCATGAAAAAACTTTATAAAATTTTCTTGTTATTGCTATTCCAAGTTCAGTTTGTGTAATGGAAATTATTTCTGAGAGAAAATCTACTTGCAAACTTGGTAGCTGCCTTTCCCTGCCACTCAGCCATCAAAAGTTGTGTTTTAAGACTTAGTATGCCCACTGCACAATATGTATTTTTAAATTCAGTTTCTTTCCAAGCAAAAGGTACCTGAAATTCAGGTGGAGAGAAATGGTGATTCAGTAAGCCTACTTTTGTGGAATGAATATATAAATCTTAATCTGAGTCATAATTCATAAATATTAATCTCTTTCCTTTGCCCTGGAAGAATACTGAGTATCATCAGTTTTTCTTAACTACTTAAAAACAGATTGGATATAAAGCATTAGAAACTATTGATTTGAAGGAGTGATTTGTGTTAACATCAGCCATCTCCTGCTGTTTATTATTAAAGTCTCCTTTTATGACCCCAGTAATTAAGAAACAACCTGTCAACAGTTGAAAAAACCAAATTCCCTTTAGTGAATTGCCACAACACTTGATTTTATGAATTAACTCCAGATCTAAAAGTTCAATTGTTTAATGAATTCCTATGTTCCTATACATATATTGTATATTTAGTTACCTAAATTGTAAATTCAGCTTTAAGATAAAAATATGCAAGTAGTCTATTTGAATACAAAAATGAACTTGGCTAATTTAGAAATAATAGCTTATTTAATCTATGCATCATTCATAATATATAGTGCACATATTTACCAAATATAGGCTGTAATAATTTAAACAAAATACTTTTAAATTCAAAAAAGAAAACTAAGGAAACAGATGACCTTTCTCACGTTACTGAATTTCTCACTTGTCAGAAAAATTCAACAGCTTTTGACATCATTCCAGTTGTTACTGACCAATTCCCACCTACTATTTCAGAGAAATTTTGACTTTTATTTAATTAAAAACAAAAGAATCCTTCACTCATTCCTATTTATTCCAAAGCAAACTAGAAAATGTATTGCTTTTTTTTTTTTTTTTTGGGTTCTTTTCCTCTTTTCAATACTGGGAAAACAGAATAAAAGGAGTGGGAAGTGTTTCATATTAATTTTATAGTTCTTAAATTCTGATTGCTGCTGTGTTTATCTTTAATTTCAGAACACTGGGTTAGAAGATAATCCAAAGGAAGATGTATTTGCTTCATCTGTTGAGTCCCTTATCCTGACTTCTTGAGAAATAATTAATTTGAAGGTGTATTAAGGTATTTCACTCAGCAGCTTTTGATCACTAGCAGATTATGACTGCTGTAAAGGGGGTTTGATTTGGACATTTTAGGTAAAAGAAAATTAAAAACAGTTGGGATAGCCCAAAGTACCTCTGAGAAGCTAGAAATCATACCAGAATTTTTTTCCTGTGCCATGGTATCATTTGCATGATCTACTGGCAGAACATTTATCCAGGAGAACTCTGTTTTAGGCCTTCGTCAGACTTATCAGGCAGAGGTTTAAAATATACAGGTTTAGTATGTCAGTGTTATGCCTTAGCCACCCTCTGCATTTTATTAGAGAGTCACTGGATAGCAAGGATAGCAATAGCTAAGGGAAAACAGCCTGCTCTCCTCTAAATTGAATATTCTACCCATGTTTTGCAAACTGGACCATGGCTTCCTTGAAAAATTCCTAGATAACATCTATATCCCCTCCCCACTATGTAAAAAGATGAGAAATGAAATATTCCAGCTTTGATTTGAGCATGCCTATTTATTTTGCCAATGTTTTGTGTCCCAAAGTGATTATTGTTATTTCAGAAAAAAACCACTTGGCCTATTGCATCCCCAAAGCTACCAGTTAGGAATTTTTTGGACAGAACCCCTTAGTCCCCTACAGAATCTCAAGTGCTTTGGTTTGTTTGGCAGGATTTTCCCATGCTTCTCTTTTCAGTTTCAGGTTCCTAATGTCACTTCAAAGGTACTTTATTATTATTCTTCTTCAAGCCTTTGGGAGAATGGGATTTTACAAACTTTCGTCTGCTTTGTTATTTTGTTGGGGTGTTTTTAGAAGAAGCCTTAGAGACATATGAATAAGAAACAGCTTTGCAAGGCTATAATTATCCTTTTTTTTTTGACATTTGAATTTGGGCATCTGTGAATCTATTTGTCCCATACCTTCATAGGGCTTAGAGATAACATGATTTCTTATATTACCCTTAGAATGTTCATTAAACTAGAGCTTTGCATTCAGAAAACTATGATCTCTAATCAATATACTGCCATTGCATAAGCAGTAGGTCACTTGTGGCCTCTTTCCAGATCTTTTCAAGTAAATCCCTGCAACAGTCTCCTGCACACTGACATGTTTCTGCTGATTAAAACATGGAAATCCAAATATATAGGTGTCAGGCTGAAAGGCAACAGTGAGACTAAATTATGGTCTTCTCATATTTAAACACAGCATAACACTACTAGCTGTGCTTTTTCCCATCTGTTTTACAAGAAAGAATTAAAAAGGAAAGTATTTGCTGTAGCTCCAGGTGCTTGCAATGCACCCACTTAACACAGATGGCAGAAGGCCTGCCTGTCAATGAGTAGAACTTCCTTTTCCAAGCAAACTAGAATTGTGGCTAAAATTGTATGGTTCTTGTTTTGCCTTTCCCCCCCCCCCTTTTTTTTCTTTTTTTCTCACACTCTGCCCACAAGAGATAGGACATTTTCTTTACTGAGTATGATTTATGAAGTGCAGACTTTTTCTGATGCATGATATAGATAAAAGGCAGTCTTGAAGGAATTGTGCCTGTCTTCTACCTTAAAAATTCTCAAGGTTGAAATGCCTAAGAGATGACACCAAATTCTTACGGGAATTTCACTTGCAGGAAGCTGCATTACCCAGAATTTAGTTTTAATCTAGGTGAACACAGATTTTAGGTACGGAAATGGCCACCCAAATTGCTAAATCCAGTTTATGTTATTACAGAAAAGCCCCCAACAATTCATACAGTACCTTCATAAATTCCTACACGAACCAATCAAAGTGGATTATTCCCGCATTTATTTGATATGATTTCTCTGAAGTGGTTCTTCTGCTCACTTAGCTGCCAAGTTGTTAATAGCCTTGAAACATTAATTTAGTATTACATAAAAACTCAAAAGGCCTGCTCTGATTCCTTTCTAAGGATTCTGTTTAATTGCTCTGCTTTAGTATTGCCCCATGGTTCCAAAGACTTCTCTGTTTCCTCTAACATTTTGTCAAGAAGAATGTAAAATGAAGGGCTGCTTTATCTTCTTACCAATGAGGGTGTTCTCTTTCTCGTGAACAGGATTACTGCATCCTTACCTCATCTCTTAACAAAGATCAGACTAACAAAATTAATTAAAGCAGAAATTACAGGCTCTGAAAATCCAAACAATGTTTGGAAATGCACACTTGGTGTGGGCGACTACACCAACTTTTAATATCTCTTCATATGTATTCATGTGTATGCAGCAGACTATAAATTGCCTCATTGACTATATCTAAGACATTTTTAAGTAGGTCTGGCCTGTTGTCCCGCTGATATAGCCTAAACTGCTGAAGACATTTTTGTTTCACAGCACATATGTTACAGATCTTAGCCAATGTGGCTGCTCACTAACAGAGGGCAGCTCTTCTGTCAGCTCTCAGGCTTCTTCTTGTCCAGTGCTCCTTTGATATATTGCTCAGGGAACACTAATCAGAAACATACAGTTTACATAGAGGCAGCCAGATTACAAGAAGCCAATGTGTCTGTTTTTTGGATGATTAGATGAGGTTTTTTTATACTGTGATTGGCTACATAAATACACTGGTATTTGGGGGCAGAGTAGAAGGTAAAGTTGGATCTGCACAGAGTAGGATAAATTATTCTACTAGACTAAAATATGCCCATGGCAGACTCTTTCCTTGGAAGCTAAAGAAGATATCAACTGATGTGATGAAGAAGTACTACCAGCAATAAATAGTGACTGACAGAATATTTGGAGAAGATGGGGGATTGGTGTCTTCTGTATAAATAACAAAGGATAGGAAGCTAAACAGCCTGTTCCAAACCAGATCATTAAAAGGAATTAGAAATACAAATTAAGGGAGAGACTGAATTTTGGATTAAAAACTTGCTTCAATTATGCCATTTTAAAAAGTGAATAATTTAGTGGTTTGGGTTTCTTATGTGGATTTTTTTTTTCTTCTCAGCTAAGTCTCCAAAGAGCCCTCTACTGCAGTGTGGCATGTGGAAATCTTTTTCACACAGATTTTCTGGTGCATACAAAAACACTTATTATATCATAAAGCATAGCTTTCTAAACCCCTGGTATGTGTCCTCTGCAAGGATAACGTTTGGACTATAAATTAAAAATGATCAGTGATCAGTAGCTTTGCACACTGTCTTTGTATTTGCAACATACTGCTTGCTTGGCAGCACATCTGCGACTGAAGGGAGACGATTCTGCTTCTGCTTGAGGTCGTGTTCTGTCTGCATTATCAGTAGCTTTGTTACATCCAGCCAAACCCCTAGCTGAGGTCACAGGTCCTCATTTCAACTAGGTCTGCTGCAACCTTGCTAATTTACTCTGGACGTGAGTCCAGCCCTTTTGCTGGGTAAGGTCTAGATTCTTAGCATGTTTTTTCAATATTTGCTGAAAACTGAAGAAAGGGGAATATCCTGTAATTAATCTGCACATAGGTTCAGTTTTCCTTTCTCTGACAAAGCTATTTACAGTTATGATCATTATGCACATTGGTAAATTATCCGGACTGTGCGAGATCAATGACTTTAAATATAACAGGAGAACAGAAGCAATTTATAGTATAAAAAGAGGGAAATGCTCAATTTGGAAAGTTTATTAACAGAACTATAATTATCAGATTTAATATTAGAAACAATACCAACTGTTTTTTTTTGAAAGACACAATTTATAGGTAGAATTGCCTAGATTTTTTTTTTTAAGATTTAGAAAGTTTGAATAATTAAAATTATTTCCCCTCATCCTTCCCCTTTTAAATGGAAACATTTAAATGGAATTAAAGAGACAACATATTGCAAGCTTTTTTCCAAGCTAAAATATACAACGGATTAGTATTCTGAAAGCAAATTGGTTCATAATTGTCTGAGTGCCTTACCACAGGAAGGTATCTTTCCTTCTCAAAAAAGTGTGATGTTCTTTATTCCTTTTACACAGGCATTCCATCTAACCTCTGCTTAAATTAAAACCCCACGTTGTCTTTCTCACAGGCACCATTTTCATCCTTTGTTCTGTATTCATCCCTGATCTCTTGAAGCTAAGATATTGAAAAGGATAAATTTGGCTTGATAGCAGTATGTGTAACGATGCTACTGTAGGTTGCTAGGATACCATTTGGTGGTCAACTGTCTCTGGTGCAGCTGCTCTTAACAGCCAGACTGATGGACACATTTGCTTTTATTGCCTTTAGTGCTTGGGCTACAGAAAGTTTCCTTTCATCTATTAAATTTTGACTTTTGAGAGGAGGTAAGCTTAGAGACAAAGACATGGCAGACAAGGAGACACATGTTGTTATTTTATTTTGTTTTAGTAACAAATGTGCTATCCTAATGAATTCAAAAAGAAACATCCCAGTCTCTGCAAGTTTTACAACTTTTGGTACAAGAGCTAACACAAGATCTACTACAATGTCCATTACAGCAGCTGAGAATCTTTCACTGATTTACTATGACTCTGCTACCACCCCTTGTCTTTTTCCCTGAGGATTTTGAGGGCTAAAAGCAAAAGATGCATCACATGTGTGATTTAGTTGGTGGGGTCTAAAAGTTCATATGCTTTGTAGGATACATGTGAAGGGAATGTGTAAGAAATTCAAACTTTACTCACGCAAGAAAAAACATACTTTTTCCACAAGAACAAGTAGTTGTTACTTTTGTTTTGATATAATTGCTTATGAAACAATGAATTCTGTTACAAATTCCTGAGTGCTGACCACTTCTAGAAATTAGTCAGCTTAATTAAGTCACAAAGTATGAGTATTTGCTACTTTAAGTTTAGATGACATTTCTCCAAACAAACAAACAAACAAAAAACAAAAAAAAATAACAAAAAACCCACAAAAAATTGAAACCACTAAAAACCCACAACAAACAAAAACCATTCTTCCCAGCTGGTAGCTTCCATTCCCCTCCTGGTCTGATTTTGTTCCTGTTTTCATTCACAAATTCTATATAATGGGCACTCTTATGGAAACACAAGGAAGGAACACTATACCAAGAGTACCAGGACAC